GTTATGTTTGTGTGTGTGTGTGTGTGTGTGTGTGTGTGTGTGTGTGTGTGTGTGTGTGTGTGTGTGTGTAATCCCATCCTCCCACAGTGCCACCGCCTCGTGGATGTCGACGTTGCCTGGCCAGGCTTGGCGGGACAGCCTGGTGGGAAAGCTTCGCTCGCTGGGCATGGGCCACGTCCTGCTCTTGCTGCAGTGCTTCATCTCGGCCATGGCCAACATTTACAATGAGAAGATCTTAAAGGAAGGAGACCAGCTCACTGAGAGCATCTTCATTCAGAGTAGTAAACTGTGAGCCCGTCATCTGTTCAATGCGACAAAAAGACGGTCGGTCACGTCTTGACTGTTTCTCCTTTGTCATGTCGCAGGTACGCCTTTGGTGTGGTGTTTAACGGTCTGACCCTCGTTACCGGGCAAGAGTCCCGAGGCCTCACTGTCCACTGTGGCCTCCTTTACGGACACAACATCTACTCTCTAGCCCTGGTGGTCATCACTGGTCAGTAGGATGTACTACATCGACAACCATATGACTTCTTGACCGCAAATATTCAGTACACCCACACAATGTAAACTAAGAGATCCGAATGATTGACACATTTCTTGGAGTTAAATTGAGCAACCAAAACAAACAAAGAAATCGACTTTTACAATATGACACATATATTAAAGACCGACATCTTGTTTTTGATCTTGAAAAATGAATTAGACGACCTAAATTAAACTAAACTAGAAAGGCACAGTGGTAGACATTTAGATTTTTTTTTTTTTGTTGTTGTTTTTGCCCTACTCAGTAAGTGTCATTGCGCTTTTGCTACACAGTAGATGGCAGTGGCACGCACAATGTCAGAGTGTGCACGCAGGGAGTTGTAGCTCCACACAGGAGCTTAGGGTTGTCAGATCATGGTTCCGACCCCGCTTCCAAAAGCTGTGCACTGCAAAACATGCTCATTGTCGCCTTAAATCCTAACCTACTCATTTTGATTGAAAACCTAAGATAAGAAAACGTTATTTGTCTCACAATTGAGAAATTCCCAATTTACATTCGCAAAATTATGAAAGGGAGAAAGTTAGATTTATATTTTCTGTGCTGGAAAATAATTTGTTTTCAAATTTCTATTGCTGAGAGAGATCTAACACTGCCTCACAGATGTTTTTCGTAGCCCCTCTACGGCGTTTTGCATTGTTAGTAATCATTAAGCTGAGCAGACTTTCCTTGAATCAATGTGGGTGTTTTTAATAAACAATGTGTAATTCTTGTATTTTATGTTTAGCTTGACAGTACGCTTCAACCAGCAGTGGCATGAAACATCTCAAAGTCTCCTTTTGAGAAGAATTGGTCATTATCTCCCAAACTGCTCATTTGCAAACGCACATTTTTACTCGCAAACCAAAGCAAAAATTCAACCAAATGAAAGCTTGTATCTCGACACACTCGAAAGTTGGGTCACTGATATTTCAAGGCAGCTGCATTTTGATAGACCCGAATGAAATCAGCCATTAAAGCCCAGGCTTTAATGGCTTTAATGTCTGACTTGTAGCAACCAGTTATGTTAAGGTCAGCTCGTAGCTTTGAAACTCTAATCTTCAACTTGACACTTCCTGTCCACCAGCGACCCTGGGCCTCTCGGTGGCCTTCATTTTGAAATTCCGAGACAACATGTTCCACGTGCTGACGAGCCAGATCACCACCGTCTTGGTGACCGCCCTCTCGCTCTTCCTCTTCGACTTCCGGCCTTCTCTGGACTTCTTCCTGCAGGCCCCCGTGGTGCTGCTGGCCATCTTTATCTATAACGCCAGCCGGCCCCGGGACCTGGAGTACAGCCTGCAGCAGGAAAAGCTGCGGGTCATCAACGGGGAGGTGTTAAAGAGGTCCAGAGGGGTAAGGGCACACACGCATGCACACGCCAAGTTCCCTGCTGCCATCTTGTCCCGACAGCCTTTTTTTGTCTTTCATGGAGGAATGATGCACTTGTTTTTGTTTGTTTTTTTTTCCCTCCACTGGTGCTGTTATTGAGTGAATGCTGTCGACACGTTCTAAATGGTGCTACGGTGCATCAGTATTATTGCGAAATGTGTATTTTTACTTAACCTTTGTGGATCTTGTGGCTATTGCCGCAAATGTTAATAGTGGAGATTTTTACCCGCCAAAAATTAATCAGATAGGCAAGCAAACATTTCGTGATTTTTAAAAAAAAAAAATGTATTAAGCTTATTCCAGATCTGCCCCAACACTAATAGTAATATTTGTGATTAAGAGTTAGGTTCAGCAACAAATGGATCTTTTTTTTTTTTTTTTTTTTTACGGAAACGTCAAATCTCTAAATTCCAACGCATGGTAAAGTCCGTATGGCGCAAGCTTTTATAGGTCAAACTTAAAAACAATAAATCAAAAGATCTCAAAAACCTGATGTGCTTGGAAAAGGTAAAGACATTTTTTAAATCAATGTCAAAAATATGTTAAGGGATACACAAGGCCATCTCTGATTAGAATATCTTTTTGACCAGTGTCATCTAATAGGTCATAATTGTTAAGCTTATCATTTTTTTGTGTGCAAATTTTTGACTTTTATTAATTAAATGTACAAAACAGATTTTATGTGTCCCTGGGTGGAAAATTGAGTACAGTCGTGGACTTTTTTTAATTGCAATAATTCAATCTTTCATCTTAATTTCAGAAATATTAATGACGTATGAATGATCTTTAAATTGTAATATGTGAATGTTATTAGTTTTGCTTTATTTGTATTTATATTAGTTTACATGATATTTCATTAAATGCATGATGTAATTGATTCTGTGGTCATTGCCCAAATGCAACTTTTCTAATCTTAATTATCTCCTATCACAATCCATATTTTTTAAAAATGTTTTATTCACGGATGTTGTGGCCATTGTCCGGTGTAAAATGTAATATTTGATATTTTGATTTTCACATTTTAATTACCGTTATCTACTATAATCTATTAGACGGTAATACAGTATTACTCTATATCCTTAATTAATTATTGTATTAATACTTTTAAATAATTTTTATTGATAATGTCAATGATTTCTGGCCTGTTGCATAATTCCATATGACAATGTTATTGATGGAAAATATACCTTTGGCTGTATCAGTGATGTATTAAATATCTATTAGATCTTGTCGGTTTCATTTTTCTGACTTAATATTATTATTCTTAGTGGTGGTGGTCGTAGTAGGAGGAGCACTAGTAATGGGATAAATAATCTTTATTATTCATGTTATTTTACCTCCACAAAATGGAATAGTTCATCCACCATTTTAGGTAGTTTGTTTAGTGGTGTCTGAACTTCTCTGATGTATTTTAGGATGGCGAGGAGCTGGAGCTGCTGACCAAGGCCAATACAGACAGCGACTCTGAAGACTCGTCTTTGTAATACAGAGACGCAGACTGCGTGCAGTGTTCACAAAGGAGGCACATTGTCGATGCACATGTTGTTGGCAAAGTTTATTTTATTTTTTTGCTGCTGGAAAACGTGGCCTAACGACGTCGTCGGTGTGTCTGAAACACATGAGATTGAGGCGTTTGTTTTTTCTGTGGTCAAACCTCAACACACGCTTTCAGTTTGTGCGTGTTGGGAATAAGTCTTGCTACTGTATTTTTTTTTCCTCCTTTGGAAACCATGTGGGTATTTTATTCCCTCTTCCTTTGCTGGAGGAAGATTTGTCTGAGTTTCAGTGGCAAGACCGTTTGTCAGGATATGAGGATGGACAGTATTCATGGGACTTGAAGACTTGTTTGGCGGACCAAAAGCCTAAATTGGACTCTTGAAAAGCACAAGGACTTGCTTTCTTTGGTCACATTGTGAATATTTATAAACTGGGCCATGTGAGCTTGACAATAAACAGCACGCCCTTCACTCGTGTTGGAATGTGATGAGGAAAGGGGGCAGACAAAACAAAGGAAAATGAGATGAAACAGAGTGATGATTTGAGATTTTTTTTTCCCAACACATTTTTCAATTATCTTACTCAAGCACAACCTTTTCGATATATCAGGCTGAAGCCACACGCATAGTCAACATCCAGTTTAAGAACCAGATTGAAAAGTTAAGTTTCTCCTCACAATACTAAAAGGCATTTATATAGGCTTGTGCGCGTGTACTTAATTTGTATTTTATGATACATTATTACACTATTTATTATACTATTTAAAACATTTCATGTTTTTCAGGGTACTTTTAATAATTATTAATTAAATTATAGTTTTATGTATTTTTAAAATTTTCAATAATTTTTTATGGCCACTTAATGGTGGTAATGCAACACTTAATCCACCGTCTTATAAAGAAAAAATATGTATACATAAATACGTGTGTGTGTGTGTGTGTGTGTGTGTGTGTGTGTGTGTGTGTGTGTATATATGAGAGAGAGAGAGAGAGATGATTTCAGCCATGCATCCATTGTGCCTACATTGTAGCCATCCTTACCACTATCCCACCTTGCTGCCTTTCACTTTTATATATTATTGTATTTTTTGTTGTATTGATACTATATTCACACATTTGGACAATTTACAGTACCGGTACTCAAATCCACCATTTTATTTTTGGTCATTTTAAATTATCAAATTGGATTCTGTATTTTTATTTGTTTAATCTTTCTTGAATGTATTGTTTAGTAAATTGCAAATATATATTCACATAAGTGCAGCCCGGTGATCCAGTGGTTAGCGCGTCGACCTCACAGTCCAGAGGTACTTGTCAATTCCAGCTCCAGCGTCCCTGTGTGGAGTTTGCCTGTTCTTTCCGGGCCTGCGTGTTTTTTCTCCGGGTACTCTGGTTTCCTCCCACATTCCAAAAACATGCATGGCAGGCTGATTGAACACTAAATTGTCCCTAGGTGTGAGTGTGAGCATGGATGGTTGTTCGTCTCTGTGTACCCTGCGATTGGTTGGCAACCAGTTCAGGGTGTCCCCCATCTACTGCCCGAAGAGAGCTGGGCCCCCCGTGACCCTTGTGAGGATAAGCGGATCGGAAAATGGATGGATATTCACATAAAAGGCCAATCTGAAATATTTAATGTTAGCCATATTTCACTTGCGTGTCAAGCAAAAAAATAAACATAAACAAAAAAAACAGGCAGTAAAATCCAAGAAAAAGGAATTTATTGTAAGGCACATAAGTTTAAATAATAAAATGCAGCCCAAAAAAAAGCAATCATGCTGCAGCTAAAAACCTGCAACAACGGGGAATGCAACAAAAGTCCAATAAATACATGTATGACAATATGTGAGCAGGATTTGATATGTTTCAAAGTTGATAATATGAAATGTGTAAATTGGAGTCTAGAATACATCTCCCTTCAGGCTCATTTATGCTTTTATTGGCTGCGATTAAATAGAGCCTTCCGCAAATTAGCATTAAGTGGCGCCAAACAGAGCTATATTTGGAGGAAGTGGCTAGGTGAAAGCTGTCATTTTAGAAGCCTCCACTTAGTGCTACAAAATTACCCGATGACCTCATCTGCTCGGTCAGGGAGGCAAAATTAGAGGGCCGCCAACTTCAAACAGAAGCAGCGTTAGCTTGTGCGTGTCTCGCATCCACCCACTCATCAAGAAAGCCGCTAGTAACCGTAGCCCTGGTGATAACCGTCCTGATAGCCGTGCTGGTGGTAGCCGTGTCCGCCGTACTCGTCCTCGGGGCAGCGCATTCCCAGCGACTGCTGGATGGCCATTTCTTGCCGGCGCAGCTGCATTGAGTCCACTAGGTCGTAGATGATGGCCATGGACCACATGGGTGAGGGGTACCAGGACTTGACGTTGCCGTCCTTACCCACCAGCAGCATGGAAAAGTACTCTGGACTGATCTGGAAGTAGTTCCTCATGTCCTTGACAAGGGTGGCTGACAGGCCCTCGCGCTCCACAGCCGCGCTCCCTGTAAGAGACGCAACCGTAGAAATTAGGTGGGTTGCTGCAGAATTGGTGGACATTTTCTGTCGCCCAAGTGAAATGACAAATCATCCACTCATCAAATTCAGAAGCGTACATTTTGTGTTAGTTATCATCTGACAAAATGTAATGGTTGCTGTAGTCAGAGGGATTTTGTAAATGTAAATGATAAGACCAATTGGTTCTCAGCACCCGTAATGGTTTCTTAATGTTGTGCCTCCATCTTGATAAGCAATTTACGCATCAGATACAACAGATGAAATACGTTTTGAATCAGGTTTATGTGGAATGATTTTGTTGATATTTGGTTTGGTCAGTTGTAACTAAACTCAGAAATGGTCGCATCTACGCAACTCAAGGGAAAGAGAATAAGAAAAGTTGAGCTGACATGACTCAGCAGAAATTCCATCTAATGGCAACGGCAGACCAAGTTTTCAATGTTTTCATCCATAATGGAGTGTGTCACTCAAACCAACGTAACCCTGTTGCTCATCTTATCAGAAAAGACGTTTTTCTGTGTATTACTCAAATCAAATATGACAACATTTAATCAGACTTAAGTAATATTTAAAAAAATAGACAGTGTGGTTTTTCAGGCACCTGAGTATCTGAAACAGGATTGTACCCGACACAGCAAAATGTGTGATGTGACAAATAAAATATCTAATGGCAAGTGTACTGTTGATCAAAACTGGTCAAATCAAATTATACAATGATTTATCATACGTTTCCTTAAAAACATGATAAATAAATAAATAGATGGTCCTTTTTCCCCAAAATGTTGGTGCCTAAATTATTGTCCACTTCATGGAATGACCTTTATTTAATGGCGTGTGATGCATGCAAGCTTTATGCAGTGAATTACAGCAACTAAAGTGGTAACAACATTTGAGGCGTTTCTGTTTGGACAACCGTTGAGCAGAGACGATTAAAAAAAAAACTGGGGAATGTGGTGCAAGTACGTCTTGATGGAGAAAAGCTGTTCTAGAAAGTCAGGCGCCTTTCTGGGAAGCATCCCGCCCCACACTGTTTTCAACTAAGAATTGATTCAACACTGCATTTGTCTCAGTGCAGCTGTAACAGATGTAGCTACTGGATTGGAAAAACAAAAACAACAAAAAAACATCCGGCTCAGTGGAATTTTGCCATCATTTTCACACAGCCACAGGATGTATCTAGAAAACAGATATTTAGAAGTGCAACAATCACAAAATTCACAGCAGGCTTTTGAACCCTGAATCAATCAGTACATTTCTAACAACATCCACTTCTCTGCCTTTCTGTGACTCGTCAAGTCTCTCTGAGTCCTGTAGTTCTGTTGAAAGCTGCTGATGATACTCTAAGCTCAGTGGCCATTTATCGTATATTCCGGACTATAAGGCGCACCTAAAAGCATTCAATTTTCACAAAAGCTGACGGTGCGCCTTATAATCCGATACGCCTTAGACATGGATCATTATTCTTATTTCTTGGACGTAGTATTTTAAATGTTCTGTAAAGCGCTTTGTTACAGCTGTAGTGGTTGTGAAAGCTCTATGTAAATACAGCTGTATTGTATTGGATTCCCTGCAGAGTAGCGCCATCTAGTGGATACATAACACAACCGCAGCCACTATTCTATGTGCCTTATAATGTGGTGCGCCCTATATATGAAAACAGTTTTAAAATAGGCCATTCATTGAAGATGTGCCTTATACTGCGAAGCGCCTTATAATGCGAAAAATACGGTACTCTGAAAACATCCTGTTCAAAACCTCACAGCAGTGAGGTAGTTTTTCTCAATTGTTAAGTGTCACCTTGATCCCATGATGTCGAAATGTGAGCAGGATGATGTTTCAATTTTTTAAAATACCGCTCAATTGGTCGATTCATGGATCAAGTACCTACGGTCAATCTTGCCCTCGGCTCGAGATTAGAGAACAGGAAGTCGAGCAAAAAACACTGAAAATTTGACGAGTTAAAAATATTGAGAGATGGTCAAATGAAGTCCACCGGTAAAGAGACGAGTACATTTTATATTATTTCTTAAATCACACCCAAAAGCTCAATTTCTCTAAAACTTTGTGAGAGTAGTGTATATCCGATCCAAGGCGGAAAGAGGTGTTGGCGTTCACATGGTATTTCTCGTTTTTTCCAGGAAATGGATTGGATTGCTTTATTGTCATTACACATTCGTGCAACGAAATTATCTTCCTTACCATTAAAAGGATAAAGTTCCAAAACTCCACCCATGTCCGACAGCTCTGTCCCAACCAGCTTTAGAATGGAGATGTGCCTCAAACCTTCAAAATGGAAAAAAAAAATACAACGCCCATTAAAAGAAAAGCATACATCTTATAATTTGCAGTACAGTATCCGCAATAGCCTCATTGTGCCTGTTGATTATTGGAATCTTCCTAAGCGTAGAGGCGGTTGCTCGGTAAAAGGAGAAGGTGGTGCTGGTGTTCGAGGATTGTGCGGAATGTGGCCAAGGAGCTTTTTTCATCCGAGACAAGAAAAAAAAATCACATTCGACGATGTTTTAGAACTGTGGCGAAGTGTTGAATATCAAGACAAAACCTTTTTTTTTTTCTTTAGCCTCATCAGCAGGATAGGTCTTTGTTTGGAACAAGAAGGGAGTGGAGCAGTCTTGAACCCCAGCCAAGAACAACATGAAGTCCTTACAGAACATAGCAACATGCTGATAAGACTCTTTTTTTTTTGTTTTTTCCTCCAGCGACCAAATCCGACATTAAAACCTGCCATGTTTTGTCTAGGATTTACTAAATAAGCATTTAGGATTATTACCAACAATATATTCATGCATTTTCAAGGATGTCCATCTCAAAGGTGCCACGGGGTTATATTGCATCACACTAAACAATCCGCAGTTATTCACTGGGTCAAGACTGCCTAATCTATATACATTGTGATACAACGGTTGCCTCGTTCAAAAAGGTCTAGCAACATGGTGCTGGATGAATCTGGGCG